TAATGGACTTCTCTGTGGATTAGAGCCCAGTTTGGTGAGGAAACGCCACTTTAAGGAGGCAGGTGCTCCCTTCCCTTGGCCCAGAAAAGGCCCTCCGCCCTGGTCAGGACCTGGACAGAAGAGGAGGCACTTCTGGGATGGCTGGTTAGTGTTTGGGCTCCGGGTGAAGCAGGTGTGGCCACCGGGGGGCGCCGCTGCTCCGGGTCTGTGGCCTGATGCAGGAGGCACTTGGAAGTGGCGCTCTGAGGGAGGCCGGCGCCGCTATGTCATCAGGATGGGCTTCTGCCGCACCTCCAGGATGTCTGACGCAAAGAGAGAGAGAAAGAGAGACTCAACAGGTACCAGAGGCCTCCAGAAACCCAGAAATACGGGATTAAGCACAAGAAAAACAGGATTAAACCACAGAAAACAGGATAATACCCTAGAAAAATGGGGTGAAACCCAGGGAAAACGGGATTAAACCCCAGAAAAATGGGATTAAACCCCAGAAAAACGGGATTAAACCCCATAAAAACGGGATGAAACCCCAGAAAAACAGGATTTAACCACAGAAAATAGGATAAAACCCTAGAAAAACGGGATTAAACCCTAGAAAAACGGGATTTAACCCCAGAAAAACATGATTTAACCCCAGAAAAACATGATTTAACCCCAGAAAAACGGGATGAAATCTTAGAAAAATGGAATTCAACCCCAGAAAAATAGGATTAAACTCCAGAAAAACAGGATTAAACCCCAGAAAAACGTGATGAAACCCCAGAAAAACGGGATTTAACCAGAGAAAAACGGGATTTAACCTCAGAAAAACTGTATAAAACTCCAGAAAAAGGGGATTAAACCCCAGAAAAAGGGGATTAAACCTCAGAAAAAGGGGATTAAACCTCAGAAAAACGGGATTCAACCACAGAAAAACTGGATAAATCCCCAGAAAAACTGGATAATACCCTAGAAAAATGTGATTAAACCCCATAAAAACAGGATAAAACCCAAGAAAGACATAATTCAACCCCAGAAAAATGTGATTAAACCCTAGAAAAACATAATTAAACCCCAGAAAAATGTGATTAAACCTCAGAAAAACATAATTAAACCCCAGAAAAATGTGATCAAACCCTAGAAAAACATCATTAATCCCAATAAAAACGTGATTCAATCCCAAAATAACTAGATTCAACCCCAGAAAAAAAGGAATAAACCCCAGAAGATCTGGATTAAACCCAAGAAAATATGGAGTTAACCCTAGAAAAACAGCATTAAACCTCAGAAAAACACTATTAAACCCCAAAAAACAGCATTAAACCCCAGAAAAAAGGATTAAACCCCAGAAAAACATGATCAAACCCCATTAAAACAGGAACCCAGCCCTGGGCCCTGGTTTTCTCCAGGTCCTCCCCGTTATTTCCCGGTATTCCCCCCTCCCCCTTACCTGCTGTGATGCGGTGCAGTGTGTAAAAACATAATTAAACCCCAGAAAAACAGCATTAAACCTTAGAAAATTGGTATTAAACTTCAGAAACAAAGGATTAAACCCCAGAAAAACGGGATTAAACCCCAGAAAAAATCTCAGAAAACAGGATTTATCCCCTGAAAAACAGCATTAAACCCTAGAAAATTGGTATTAAACCTCAGAAAAACATCATTAATCCCCATAAAAACCGGAACCCCACCGGGGCCCGGGCCCCTCTGGGTTTCCCCGGCCCCCCCCCTTTTTTCCCCCGTTTTCCCTGGTTTTTTCCCGGGGTTTTCCCCTTTTCCCCCCCCCCCCCCCGGTTACCTGCGGTGATGCGGTGCATGGGCAGCGTGACGTAGGTCAGGTTTGCGTACAGCAGGAAGTAGTCCTCGACCCGGTTTAGCTTCAGCCAGGATCCCACCAGGGATCTCCCGGTTCCAGACAGAGAACGGGACCGGAGGTTAGCGGCGTTCTGCAGATCCTCGTCCTCTTCCTCGCGGAAAAACTCCTCGCTGTCGTTGGCCGAGTGAGACTTCTTCATCTCGGCGATGCGGCTCCGGGGAACTTTCCTCCGAAGGGAGGGGGAGAAGAAGGAGGGCCGGGTTCGCTCCGGGGTCGGGGGGGTGCTGAAGGAGGTCACCTGGAGGAGGGGGGGGTTAAAGTAGGTTAAAACCAGTTTAAAGCAGATTAAAACGAGTTTAAAGCAGGTTAAAACGAGTCTAAAGTCAGGTATAAACCAGACCGAAAGCCAAGTTTAAACCAGATTAAAACCTGTTTAAATTCAGGTTTAAACCAGACTAAAAAGCGAGTTTAAACCAGATTAAAGCCACCTTTAAACCAGACTACAACCAGTTTAAATGCAAGTTTAAACCAGAGCAAAAGGCTAATTTAAACCAGATTGAAGCTAAATTTAAACCAGACTGAAAGCCCAGTTTGAATTCAGGTTTAAACCAGACCGAAAGTCGAGTTTAAACCAGATTAAAGACAGTTTCAGAGAAGAGGGAGAGAAGCAGGAGGGCCGGGTCCGCTCCGGGGTCGGGGGGGTGCTGAAGGAGGTCACCTGGAGGAGGGGAGGGG